AGAGAGAAATCACCCCAGGGGGGATGGCCACACCGCAATCCCTTCTCCTCCATTCTCCTCCTGGGATCTTGGGCACGCACACACATGCATCCGGCATGTTTTTCAAGCAGGTCTGGGACTTGAACCGCAAAGTGGGCCATGTGCAATCCAGCGCTTTAACCTCCATGCCACCTGCTGGCCCAACATCATGGGACTTCTAGTAGCACCTGTGGCCTCTGCCCACTGGGTGCCTGCTGTCTATTACTGCGCCCAGGAAGAGTCCTAATTACTATGTAAACTGAGCAGGTAAGTGGGAAGGGTTGGACTCCAAAACAGGGTCCTTTCTCCCTCCTGCCTCTGCCTGCCTCCCCCAAATCAGGTGACAGTAGAGAGGGCTGATGAAGGGGTGTTGGGATTACACGTGGCAGGGGTTCCGAGTCCAGCCAGCCTGCCTGGATCCAGACCTCCACGGAGCCCCATGGTCGCCCTCACATCTGCACAGAAGACCGACAAGGTACGGAAATGCCAGGAACAACCAAAACAAGCAGGCAGACGCCTCGTGCTCAGGGGGCTCTGGCCAAGTGCTTGCTGCACACCCGCGCAGCAGTGCCTGGGACGCAGCGGGTCCTTACAGTGTCTGGCAGCTCCAGGGCACTTGTCCAAGACATGGCTCTGCAGAGTGGCCCTGCCCTGGATCTGGTCCTGTCCCCATGTGCCAGCCTCTGCAGGAGGGACTAGTGCTGACCCACACGGGAGGGGGACTGGGCCACAACCCAGGCAAGACAGCATGGCCCAGCCAGACTGACCGTGAGCCACCATGGCGGGTCCCTGGCCACTGCCTCTCACAGCAGGAAGGCTCCGAGCCTTCCCCTCACTGCAGCCCTCAGCACCTGCATCTCCTGTAACCTCGGCGGGCATGGTATGAGAGGGCTCCCCCTGCCTACTTCCTCTGGCAAACAGGTCAAGAGCCAGAGTCCTGGTGCGTGAAGAAAAAGAGCAAAGCAGCAGAATGTCCCTTCCTCACACTCTCTAGCAGAGGCATGGTGGCAGGCTTTCCAGGGGGATCTTTCCACAGACCCTGGTCCAGGGTCTAAACTCTAGTTATGAGGAAAAGGGATCTGCTGGGATCTCACCAGGGGCCCCATCCAAGACCCAGCACCCGGACCCTCTGGGGCGGTCTCCCTCTCTCACCTCCCAATACCACATGGGTAATCAACCACGGCCCATCAGCACAAGCCCATGAAGATAAGGAACTTTCTAGAAACCTGGGATACTGGCACTCAGGCTCTCTCTCCCTGGCCCAAACCCAGGGAAGAGTGGGCTTCTCAGCGCATCAGGGGCTGTTTGCGGGTGGCGACCGAGCAGTGAGGGTGACGTCTGGAAAACGCTTCTATTTTCAAATTTCCCTGATCTTGGCCCAGGTGGGTTCCTTTTTTGGTTTGCTAGAGGGTCTGTGTGCTCACGTTAGGGGGAGCGGAGGGAGAAAGTGAGAGATTACACCTCAAAGGGATGGCCAATCCCTTCCCCTCCATTCTCCTCTTGGGATTTTGAGCATGCCCGCACACGTGCCTGATGGGATTTTCACACTGCTAGGTCCGGGACTCGAACTATAAAGCCCAGCCACGATCCAGTCACCTTAACCTCCACGCCGCCTGCGGCTGTCAGCCTGGGTTTTCCTGGGATGCAGAGGGTGTAAGTGAAGTGTGCAAATCCCGGTAATTCTGCCCTCCTGTTGTCAGGTATTACTTCTCTTAGACTCCCCCAGAAAGTGGAAGCAGGGGCTGAGGCTCACCTATCCCTCCGCAGGCCGCCCCGCTGTGAGAACGGGCTCCGGACGCTCTGGTGAGTCAAAGAACGAACAGGACGGATGCCGGCCAGACAAATGCCAGACGGCTGGCACTGCTGAGCCCGGGCACTGAACACGTGAGCCACACACGGGAACCCACGACCGCCCCGTTAGGAAGGCTCTGACCAAGATCTCTCATTTTTCGGGTGAAGAAACAGATCCCAGAAATGAAGCTACTTCACTAAACCAACGACTTCCCACCAAGAAGCCAAATTTTGACATTTCGAGAGAGCTTAGAGAAATATTTTTGAAAGAAAAGCCACCACTGGGGTTAATAATTGACAGCATTTCCGACGGGAACAGCTGTTAAAACAGCATTTGATCCAACTCACACAAGTCCAAACACCAGTTCCAAAAAAGGGAGGGATTTTTTTTTGAAAGAGTCAAGACGTGTGACTTCAACGATTGGGACAGGTCACAGATGACAGCTGGGACTGGGTCACACGCTGGGAATCTCCTTTTGGAGACCGGGCATAACCTTATCTTCAGAAAGTTCTGACCCGAGAGGCCGGGGCTCAGCCGAGGGGCTCCGTCCTCCCGTCCATCATAGCCTCGCAAAGCCCCTGCCTCCGAGCCCCATCTTCACAGCGAACCGGAGTCACGGTGGGAGGTGGGAACATGGCTTCTTTAGGAATGCACTTTGGGAAAAGGTGTCTGGGAGACGGCGCTGTCTTTGAAAGCTGCTTGTCAAGGACGGTTCAAAGCAGGCAGCGGTGCTGCTGGAGGAACGTCACTCCTCAGGAGGAGCTGACCTACCAGACAGAGGAGCAACTCCGAGAGCCGGGCACGGGGTCCTAAATTCTAAACCCAGAATCCACACTGCGGGCCGGCGCCGGGAGGAACATCCGCCCCGCGGCTCAGCTCGCTGAGGTTAGGCAAATGACCCTGAACAAGACAGTGGGGCAGCGCGGTTCCCACGGCACAATCTGCCCGGCACCCTTAGGACCTTAGGAGCGCTCATCTGCAGGGTCACCTTCCTGAGAGCGGGCGGCGTCTTGCTGGGAGCACTTGAGCCTTCTCCGGGGCGCCTAGCTGCTGGGTCAACCTCCTCGGGCCCTGGACCCTGCTCTTGGTCCTCACACCCGGCGACCCCTGCTCCAGCCTTCGGCAGCCGGCCAGTTCGGGGCCTTTTTTTTTTTTTTTTTAAAGGTTTTTTTTTTTACTGTAGGGCGCGTGCGCGCCCCCAGAGAGAGACATAGAGACAGAAAGCGAGAAATCACCCCCCAGGGGGTTGGTCACGTCGCAATCCCTTCTCCTCCATTCTCCTCTCGGGATCTTGGGCACGCACACACACGCGCCCGGCGTGAGTTTTAAGCCACCGGGTTCGGGACACGAACCACGGTCGACTACGTGGGAGTCCAGCGACATAGCCATTACGCTAACAGCTGGTTCCCAGTTCGGGGCCTTTTTACGTATTCAGCTGGCCCCGCTCCGCACACAGAGGCAGCCCCTTCCACCAGACTTCCCGCTGGTCTTAACCGTCTCTACCTGTGGACACCTGAGTGCACGCTTCACTTTAACCTCAGCCACACAAAACCAAGGAGGAGAAAGCAGCCCTTGTAAAGAGCGTGTTACGACCCAAAGCCACACAGAAACGACCTGGCTTCTACTCCCAGTCCTGCCTCCATCTAGCTGTGGGGCTTTGGGCAAATCCCTTCATCCTCTGGACTTTCATTTTGTTGTCTGCAAAATGGAGGGATGAACTGGATGACGTTTAAGACCCGGAAGCCCTGATTTAGAGCTTAAGAACTCCGAGCACTCCGGAAT